ACCCGTATAAAACAACAAGTTATACACATGTAATATTTATACATCTGATACAGTTCAGATCACCGTCAACACTCAGTCACACACCCAGGGCCGTATCAAGGCATTTTGGGGGCCAAGGCAAAACGGAACCCCCCAACCCTAACCCGTACATAACAGACATGCCACCATTACACTGTTAGCAGCAGAAATGACATGTTATTAGCATTTCCAACACAAATGCATGTTAATGAAATACATTATATTTTACTGGATACATTTATGTGTCATTGTGACTAAGATGAGTGTTATTAATACAAACCTAACATGTTACTGAAATGTAGGTCACATGTTTAAAAACATTTTAACTATAAATATCAGACGGGGAAAAAGGAACTAAACACCAATCTAATGCATATTATTGAGCCTTTTATAATATTTAGCCTTTAAAAAGTGAGACAGTTGAATGCACAGATTACGCATGTGCTGGTGCACGGTCAGGATGGTACCACCTCTGCCTCGGTTTGAGCCAGGAGAAACCCTGTTTGGTTCTCTACTTTTACTAAACTAATACTGTCATTTATTTATGTAGTTCTCTAGTGTACTAAACAAGTGCTGTCATTAATTGACGAAGTTCTCCACTTTTACTAAACTAATACTGTCATTTATTTATTTGTGTAGTTCTCTACTTTGGTTAAACAGTACATGTTAAAATCTAAGCTCAGTTCGGCAGTGACCTAAAATACATAAATATAATTTTTCTTACCGAAAAAAATGAAGTGGAGACTCCTTGGACGCTCTATTAGTGCAATTGATGCCACAGCAAGTCATTTTGTCCAACAATTGCACAAATAATATCCAAACAACAATACACAAACGCTACAACTAATGATCTAAGTTGAGAGACTCAAAATCCCGGAACAGTTTCCAAGCCAGACCGAGGCTCTACTGAGGCCTTTCCATGGAGCTAGCTCTGTGGTCACGTGGGTCTGATGCTCATTAATTATACAGAATTTTAGGCTTTTAATACACTTAAACAGAAGAGTGAGAAAAACATTCACCCCCCTCAGAGTTGTCATGAGTGTAAACTAGATCATTTAAACCAAAAACATGTTCTGGTACCAGGCTGTAAACATGTTTATTTCTGCTGTGAAATTGGTATTTTTAACATGGGAGTCAATGAGGATTTGCTCGCTTCTGACACCAGCCCCTAGTGGATGAGGGTGGAACTGCAATTTTTGTCACTTCCTGTTTAGCTTCATATTCAGACCCGATTTATGGGGGCTTGGTTCCTACGCACAATATACAGGTGCTGGCCAGTAAATTAGAATATCATCAAAAGGTTGAAAATATTTCAGTAATTCCATTCAAAACGTGAAACTTGTACATTATATTCATGCAATGCACACAGACCAATGTATTTCCAATGTTCATTACATTTAAATTTGATATTCATAAGTGACAACTAATGAAAACTCCAAATTTGGTATCTCAAAAAATTAGAATATTCTGAAAAGGCTGAATATAGAAGACACCTGCTGCCACTCTAATCAGCTGATTTACTCAAAACACCTGCAAAGGCCTTTAAAAGGTCCCTCAGTCTTGTTTTGAAGGCACCACAATCATGGGGAAGACTTCTGACTTAACAGCTGTCCAAAAGACAATCATTGACACCTTGCACAAGGAGGGCAAGACACAAAAGGTGATTGCTAAAGAAGCTGGCTGTTCGCAGAGCTCTGTGTCCAAGCACATTAACAGACTGGCGAAGGGACGGAAAAAATGTGGTAGAAAAAAGTGTACAAGCTCTAGGGATAACCGCACCCTGCAGAGAATTGTGACGACAAACCCATTCAAAAATGTGGGGGAGATCCACAAAGAGTGGACTGCAGCTGGAGTCAGCGCTTCAAGAACCACCACGAGGAGACTCATGAAAGACATGGGATTCAGGTGTCACATTCCGTGTGTCAAGCCACTCTTGAACAAGAAACAGCGCAAGAAGCGTCTCGCCTGGGCCAAGGACAAAGAGGACTGGACTGATGCTGAGTGGTCCAAAGTTATGTTTTCTGATGAAAGCAAGTTCTGCATTTCCTTTGGAAATCAAGGACCCAGAGTCTGGAGGAAGAGCGGAGAAGCACAGAATCCACGTTGCATGAGGTCCAGTGTAAAGTTTCCACCGTCAGTGATGGTGTGGGGTGCCATGTCATCTGCCGGTGTTGGCCCACTCTGTTTCCTGAGGTCCAGGGTCAATGCAGCCGTCTACCAGGAAGTTTTAGAGCACTTCATGCTTCCTGCTGCTGACCAACTTTATGGGGATGCAGACTTCACCTTTCAACAGGACTTGGCACCTGCACACAGTGCCAAAACCACCAGCACCTGGTTCAAGGACCATGGTATCCCTGTCCTTGATTGGCCAGCAAACTCGCCTGACCTTAACCCCATAGAAAATCTATGGGGTATTGTGAAGCGGAGGATGCAATACGCTAGACCCAACAATGCAGAGGAGCTGAAGACGACTATCAGAGCAACCTGGGCTCTCATAACACCTGAGCAGTGCCACAGACTGATCGAGTCCATGCCACGCCGCATTACTGCAGTTATTGAGGCAAAAGGAGCCCCGACTAAGTATTGAGTGCTATACATGCACATTCTTTTCATGTTCATTCTTTTCAGTTGGCCAACATTAGAGAAACAAACATTTTTTCATTGGCCTTTAGAATATTCTAATTTTCTGAGATACCAGATTTGATGTTTTCATTGGTTGTCACCTATAAATATCAAATTTAAATGTAATGAACATTGGAAATACATTGGTCTGTGTGCATTGCATGAATATAATGTACAAGTTTCACGTTTTGAATGGAATTACTGAAATATTTTCAACCTTTTGATGATATTCTAATTTACTGGCCAGCACCTGTAGGCACAGTTCTGTGTGTAGATACGGTTGATAAATGAGGCCCCTGGTTTCATCTCAAATCAAATGTCAAAATGATCAATAATATTGATAATTCATATTAATATGAAGTATCAATATTATTGATCATTCATTAAAAGTAGGGTGTTAGGGATAGGGTTATCATGAGGTGGGATGAGAGCCGCTGTTTGTGGCCGGTGATCTTATTGTCGGAGTAATGAGTTCTTGCATGTGATTTGGGAACAGGCAGGTTGTAAAGTGAATGTGTCCTTTGCAGATAGCCGGGCTCTGGCTGTTGGGGGGATGGGTGCTGACCTCCTTCCTCGCAGCATCCTGCAGCAGTATGATCTCCGCAAGGATGTGTGGGCGCTACTTCCTCCCATGCCCACTCCACGTTATGATGCCAACACACATCTGCTCGGCAACAAACTCTACGTTGCTGGTACTCGTACACGCCTGCTTGGCTCTGTTTGGTGGACGTTTCTGTCTTTTTGAATCACATTTTGAAACAAAGAGTCCTGTTTTATCTTTCAGGGGGTCGACAGTGTAAGAGACCAGTGAAGGCTTTTGAGGTGTATGACACAGAATCACGTTCCTGGACTTCATTACCCATCCTGCCCTGTAAGCGCACATACGGGGGTGTCATATGGGACTCCGCTGGAAGGCTGTGTCTCCTGGGAGGTCTGCGACAGGGCGGAGGACACCAAAGCTCCAAGTTCACCAAGAACGTTAACATCTTTGACACCAATCAAGGTAGCCATGCGTCATTCTCCTAAAGACCAAGTTATTGTTTTACCTGAACCTTTCAGTCGGTTGAAGCAGACAGATTGGTTGGTTTAGGTGCTGCACCATGCCAGAGCAGTTTTACTCCACAACAAGAAGGGATGAGCTCCTGCTCCTGCAGTTGACTCAAAAAGGTCTGGAACGAGAACTAATTTAAATTTCTTCTGGCAAAAAGGAAAATAAATGCTCAAAACAAAATAATTTATTCAAACAGGATATTCAACCAAAGCAGCGGACATTTGCCTGTAACCCTTCTCAGTGGCCTAATGGCAGAGTCAGCACTGGAACTGGGAGACCGAGGCTCAAATCCCAGTCGCCAAAGACTTTAAAAATGGGGGCTGGGGGGGTTGTCTACACGGCTGGGACATGGAAGGGGGTACGCAGAAAACTACGTCATAAGTTTCTTCAAAATATATTTCAACTAATTCATACATCCAGTCTAATGGTCATCACACTACTTAATGATACTCTTTTTCAATTAATATGAACACTGGCATTGTTACAATAATAAAGTGAAGAAAAATAAAATGGTACCATAACATGCTACCCAGATCTCACTTTTCATCATTTTTCAGCTCTATTGACCTCCAGTTCGTTGGTTTCTTCAAATGTTTTGCATAACGATCTTCTCGTGAGGAAAGCTGTGGACGCATATCGGTTCCTTTGTTGTCCTTCAACTGGAAATCACAACCAAAGCAGCACAATGTGTCGTTGTAACCCTCCTCTGTAACAACCTTAATATTATGGACATCTTCTTTCCATAGGCTCCAATATCACTTTTCTGAGGCCAAATGGGAGGTGGCCTCCACCGCCATTTTGACCGTGTCACAGGTTCCGTCAAGCCCAGACAATTCCACAAAAGGGAAGAGAGGTGGAGCTGAGGGTGGGGCTGTAAGGCTGGGATTGACTGACGACACCCGGTCGAACTAGCTACAAGCTAACCTGAAGCTAACCCAAAGCTAACACGGAGGTGGGAGCTAAGCTAACGGAGGTAGCAACCTAGCTACAACCGGAGTTAACTGTGCACAACACCAGAGCTTCTGAGTCAGAGATACGCCGGGCTGACCGCTGGGTAAAACCGGGTGGAACACAGAGGTCTCCCGAAAGCTGCTGAAAGCCGGCAGCCGTACAGCAGACAGAAGCCGCGATCAGACAGAGATGCGCCGGGCTGCGGGGAGGGGAGAAACTGGTGGAAAACATTGGTCTCCCGAGAGCTCCACAAGCCGATAGTGGGAACCCAGCTCCACCAACATGTTATATTTCAACCCATTTTCTAAAGTGCAGCATTATGTTAAATGCACTGGGTTTTACCCTGTTACATTTAAATTTCATGGTTAAACAGTACATGTTAACATCTAAGCTCAGCTCGGCAGTGACCTAAAGGACATAAATATAATTTTACTTACAGATAAAAATGAAGTGGAGCCTCCTTGGACGCTCTATTAGTGCAATTAATGCCACAGCAAGTCATTTTGTCCAACAATTGCACAAATAATATCCAAACAAGAATACACACACAGAGAGACTCAAAATCCCGGAACAGTTTCCAGGCCAGACCCTGGCTCTACTGAGGGCTTTCCACGGAGCTAGCTCTGTGGTCACGTGGGTCTGATGCTCATTAATTATACAGAATTTTAGGCTTTTAATACACTTAAACAGAAGAGTGAGAAAAACATTCACCCTCCTCAGAGTTGTCATGAGTTTAAACTAGATCATTTAAACCAAAAACATGTTTTGGTACCAGGCTGTAAACATGTTTATTTCTGCTGTGAAATTGGTATTTTTAACATGGGAGTCAATGGGGATTTGCTCGCTTCTGACACCAGCCCCTAGTGGATGAGGGTGGAACTGCACTTTTTGGTACTTCCGGGTTTGACTCAATTTTAAAGCTGCATTGTGGGGGCCTGGTAACAACAGCTAGGCTAAATGCGAACGCCAAAGCTAATGTCTACAACCAATTTGCGTCATCATCCCACAATGCCTTGCGCGCTCGAAACATGGCTGCCCCGTACCTCAAAAATAGTTTGAAAATAGCCAAGACTGTGTGAATACAAATACTTTTTCTTCGTTTTTAACTGTGTTTTCATGTAGCAGAGTGATTCTAAAAAATGTTGACATTAATATATATATATATATATATATATATATATATATTTACATACATATATATATATATATATATATGTATGTGTATATATATATATATATATATATATATATATATATATATATATATATATATATATATATATATATATATATATATATGTATGTATATATAGTTTCCATCCGCTTGTGGCTACTGAGGACAAATGTCCCATTGACTTCTATTCAAATCACATTTTTTGATCATGTTTCATCTGCAAAAAATAATCATGCTTTCTGTGATGTTAGGGTTTCATTTTAGAGAAAAGTATCAAAATTGTCATTTTTACTGTTGGCCACCAAAATCTGTTATTTCTCAGTTGTATTGATGTCAGAAGGTCAACTTTGAGCTCTGATGAGTGAATAAAACACAGTTTCACTCTCTTACTGAATGTCACGATGGTCGACTGGGTACGGGAGTTGAGATTGGTAAGGAAGTTTGATGTCTGGATTATTCGGTAGAGAACTCTGATCAGGGGTTTCAATGAAACGATGACTGAGTGAAGAGCCGGTGCGGCGTCTTCCTTATATAGGCTTGGGTGTGACTGGGAGAATGCCGGGAGTTCCCACGAGGAGCATGCTGGGAAATGTGGTCCAAGATGGAGGCCGGTTAGCTGGGAGAGGCCGGTCTGGGGGATTGGGTTCTGACAGGACCCCCCGGTCCAGGGACGGCTCCAGAAGTCCCAGGGCGACCTCGGCGGTCCCAGAAGTCAGAGACAAGGGCAGGGTCCAAGATGGAGCGGGCCGGCTCCCAGGAGCGTTCCTCAGGGCCGTAGTCCGCCCAATCGACCAGATACTGCCAGCCCCGTCCCCTGCGGCGAGCATCCAGGATGCGCCGGACGGTGTAGATGGGCTCTCCGTCGAGGAAGCGGGCAGACGGAGGCGCCGGAGCTGGAGGCGGAAGGAGGGAGGATTCCACGTAGGGCATGAGCCGGGAGATATGGAAGGTGGGATGGATGCGGAGACTCGCAGGCAGCCGCAGCCGGTACGTGACCGGGTTTATAACCCTTTGCACGGGGTAAGGCCCAAGGAACCGGGGAGCGAGCTTCCTGGATCCGGCACGGACATGGAGGTCTGCCGTGGACACCCAGACCTTATCCCCTGGAGCATATGAGGGACCAGGACGGTGTCAGTGGAGGTGTTGGTGAGGGTAACGAGTGTTAGCTCGGCTTATGGAGGCCCGCGCCTTTATCCAGGTGTTCCTGCAGCGCCTCACCAGGGATTGTGCGGCCGGCACCGCAACCTCGGGTTCCTGGTGGGCAAAGACCGGGGGCTGGTAGCCATAGCAGTCTTCGAACGGGGACATCAGAGTGGCCGAGGAGGTGTGGAGATTGTGGGATAACTCAGCCCAGAGGAGGTACTTAGGCCTCTGCGAGGGTTGGGCCGAGACAAAGCAGCGGAGGTACCGACCCAGTTGTTGGTTTGCCCGCTCCGTTTGGCCGTTGGTCTGCGGGTGATAGCCCGAAGATAGGCTGACTGATGCTCCCAACAGATGACAAAAAGCCCTCCAGAACCGGGCCGTGAACTGGGGAGCACGGTCCGAGACCACGTTGACAGGAAATCCATGGAGACGCACCACATTCTCCAGGAACAACTCAGCTGTGCGTCGGGCCGAGGGGAGACCCGGAAGGGCGATGAAGTGAACAGCCTGTGACGAAGTCCAACCCCACATGGGACCAGGGGCGGCTGGGCACCGGAAGAGGTCTGAGGGTACCAACCGAGGCCTGGTTGGACGTCTTGGAGCGGGCGCAGACGTCACAGGCGCTCGTATAGTCCTTTACATCCCTCTCCATACGTGGCCACCAAAGAGCTCGTTTGAGGAACCTAAGAGTCCGTGAGAAGCCCGCGTGGCCAGACAGGCGTGATGAGTGGGCCCAGGACAATGCCTCGCTGCGACAGGCTGTGGGGACGTAGAGCCGACCCGCGGGGGTCTCTGGAGGCGCGGGATCGTCTCGGAGGGCGTTTTGGATAGCCTCCTCCAGTGGCCACCTCAGGTGGGCCAAGAAACGGTGCTCGGGGAGGATAGGTGCCGGCTCGGACGTGGGCGTTGGATGTGTGAACTGGCGGGAAAGGGCGTCCGCCTTCTGGTTCTTTGTCCCTGGGTGGTAGGCGAGATGGAATTCATAGGGCTCAAAGAAGAGGGCCCAGCGGGCCTGGCGAGGATTGAGCTGCTTGGCTGATCTGATGTGAGTCAGGTTCTGGTGGTCCGTCCAGATGGTGAACGGCTGAGTGGTGCCCAGAAGCCACTGCCTCCATTCCTCCAATGCCCACTTTATGGCCAGCAGCTCGCGATCCCCTACGCCGTACTTCTGCTGGGTGGTGGAAAACTTCCTGGAGAAGTAGGCGCAGGGATGAAGCCTGTCGTCGGGCCCGGCTTGGGACAAGATGGCACCGGCGCCAACATCCGAGGCGTCAACCTCGACCACAAAGGGGACTGCATGATCCGGATGGCGGAGGATAGGAGCCGACGTGAAACGGGTGACTAGGTATTGGAAGGCCCGAACGGCATCTGGAGTCAGCCGGAACGGTTGGCCGGGAGGGCTTGGTCGGGTGAGAGAAGTGAGGGGTGCCACAATGGTGCTAAAGTCCTTAATAAAACGGCGGTAAAAGTTGCAGAAACCCAGAAAACTCTGCAGTTGTTTCAGGCTTGTCGGGAGGGGCCAGTCTCTCACCGCCTGGACTTTCTGAGGGTCCATGGTTAGTCCTTTATCCGAAATCATGTAGCCCAGGAATGATACGGACCGCTGGTGGAAGGAGCACTTCTCGGGCTTACAGAACAGGTTATTGTCCAGGAGCCGGGTTAGAACAGCGCGAACATGGTGGAG